TTTTTCCGCGACCGCTCCCAGACTTTGGAATGGCCTGCCGGAGGAGATTCGTCTCCGGAGGAGAGTTTTTGCCTCAGTAATTGGTATAGAAATATTTTAAACTAGAGCATTTACCAGGGTTGATGTTGGTGATTTAATTTATGATTTCAGTATAGCACAAGTTTGTTTCTATACCAACTTCCATGCAAATAAGACCAAAAAGCAGTTTTCTGAGGAAAGCTGAAGTTTATCAGTCAGTCACTCCCAAATTTGAATGATAATCTTCAGGTTGTCATCCTAAATCTTGGTTTGTTAATTTGATTCTGGGGCAGAAACAGTACAGAAAGCTGAAATATTTGTGTGGTAGATACCAAAAAGTGGTTAAAAGACCAAGTCCCAACCCTTACTAAATACTTTGTTTTAATCTTATTATATAGTATACCATGTTTGATAATTGTATAATTAAGCATGTGATTTTGTATGGTATAAAAACAAATACTTTTAAAATATAAAATGTATGGTTTTTTCTCTATCTGTATATCTTTATGCCCTCTGGATGTGGTTGAACTACACATCTCTTCATCCCCCGTTAGATGGGCCACTGGGGGAAATTTGGTTAATGTTAGACTAGTACTGGGGCAGTTCTAAATGGAAATCCGCACTCAGCTCTGAAATTCTTTATTGGAATGGCCTGGGACCTTTGTCCCTACTGTACTTCACAAAGTTGTTGGAAGGATTACATGGTGATGGGCTGTGTTTCTAGAGCATTAGTCTTCCTTCAATATCAACAGCATTTAAAAAAAAATTCACAGCAGGTTTTCAGAAGCAGATTATGATACATCTTTGGGAGAAGGGTATCTTTTGTTCCAAGGAGAAAAAAGAAGTCTGGCCAGGTGAGCCCTAACCTTTAGATATGCCCTAAATAGCTCTTTCGAATCCATGCCAAGGACTCAGTTTACTGTGATTTTTTTTTTAATTTTATTTTTTGGAGAAGAGGAAAATTTTACACACACACACACACACACACTTGTGCAGAGAGAGAGAGAGAGAGAGAGAGAGAGAGAGAGAAAGAATAGTAAAACAAGCCTCAATTTATCCTTGTTGTGTGCTTTCAAGTTGTTTCTAATTTATGGTATCCTTATGGCGAATCTATCATGGGATTTTCTTGGCAGCATCTGTTAAGAGGAGGTTTGCCTTTGTCCTCCTCTCAGGTTGAGAGAATGTGACTTCTGCAAGGTTACTCAGTGGGTTTCCGTGGCCAAGTGGGGACTTGAACCCTGGTCTCCAGAGTCGCAGTCCAACACCCAAACCACTGTGCCACACTGGCTCTCTAAATTTGTCCTTGCTTGCCAAATATTTTTTTTAAAATGCAGAGGAATGGCAACATCAGTTCATGTAATTTATATTCTATTGACATCTAGTGAGCATGCTCATTTTTTTGATGTTTGAAACCATTGATGTTTGCTTTCTAATTTAATCACAGATAGGAACTGCTTGTGTGAAGGTAATATTCTGTGTTTTGATTGCAAATGTTACTGTGTCGATCATGTTAGATATTCATGTATCTGTAGAAACAGATAGAGTTTCTCTACATTACCCATACTTGATGATCTGATGGGATTTGTTTAACCTAAGTTTACATTCATATTTTAAACTTTTAAAAAGAAGGATCAGATATTTAATCAAGCAAGGAAGGCCTTAGAGTTACTCTTTCCATCAATTTCTCAATAACATTAAATCTAGCTTTCACAAGCGGCAAATGAGATACCGTAAGTAAAAATTCATCTAAACTGTAAAGATTGCAGGGCAGAGTAGAGGAATCAATGAATGAGAATTGTCTCCATGTGAAAACTAGTATGTCAGGGAGAAGGCTAGGCTAGAACCTTGGCATGCTAGTTTGCTGAGTGCAGGAAGCTTTATTTCTTCGTTCCTTGGATTTTCGTGTTTTTAATGCATTACTGTAGTGCTAACCTTTGAAATAAAAGTACTCAGTGTGACTGTCCCCATCACCATGCTCCCAAAGAGAATATGAAGATACAAGCAGCTGTATTCATCTGCATCAAAAAGTCAGCTCTAGCAGTTTGCATTTCCACCAGGAGTGGATGTTTTGTAAAGCTAGTGGGTCTTCATTACCCATCCAAGACAAAGCCTTCCCAACATATTTTGTATTACAAGAGGGGTAGTACATGTCTCATGTGTTGCTGACAGAAACCAGGCTATATATTTATATATTTGATATGATTTATATCCTGCCTTCCTCCAAGAAATGGAACCCAAGGTAACTTACAAAATAATTTGTTTGAAAAAGAACAAATGAAATGCATGGTAGGTTATAATATTAGGAATTATAGTATTTATAATACATTTTAGTATATACATTATAGTTTATACAGTATGTTATAATAGTGAAGTACAATTGATAATAAAACAATTTAAAAACAACTCAGTATGTACAGCACATCTGTTTGAAGCCCTGACCACAGCAGGTAAATTGCTGAAATCCTGCCTGGATATAAAAGTCTTTGCCTGCTGTTGGAAGGATGACAAGGAGCCAGCCTATTCTCCTTAAAAAGGGAGTTCCACAGTCTAGTGTAGCCACCAAGATGAATTTCTCTCTCATTGTCATCAAACATCTCTGAGAGTGATGATACCAAGAGAAACACCTTTCATGAAGACATTGAGATTCAGGAAGGCTTGTATGGAAGACTGGTTTTTTTTAAGATATCATAATTGCAAGTCATATAGAGTTTTATAGGTCATCACCAACATTTTGAATTGTGTCTAGAAACAGACTGGTAGCCAGTGGAGTTGTTGTAATGAGTCACATGCTGTCAATAACTAGTATGTCTTTGGACTAGTTGAAGATATATGCTTCCAGTCAACAATCTGGACATATTTTAGTTAAGCTGCAATTTCTGAACACAGGCTGAGTTGCTCTTCCTTAATTGGCTTATTTTAGAAAGGTGCACTGTATATAAAAAGTTAGGAAGCCTTTGTCTTTGCTTCAAGATTGACACAGAATGGCTTCAGCTGATGTGTGAAAGTGATGCATTTCTTCTCTATTCTGTCTTTGAGGGTTGTGAGGGGAAGCAAGACAAAAGCAGTTGTTTCTACCACAGAAATGTAATTTGAGATTTGACATGATAGCTTTGAACAGCCTGCTGCCAGTGTCACCTCTGCACAAGGTCGAGTGGAACCTGCTGTGAAAACTGTCTCATGAAATATAGCTAAATGAGAGGAGTTTTCCAGTGAGCTTTAGCTCTTGGTTCACAGCTTAGTGTGCTCTTGCATATCAGGTAACAGCTAAGGCAGGTGACATTTCTTCTCACAGAATGTCTGACAAAATATCATAACATAAAGGAAAATGTGTACTGGCCTGTTCGCTTTTGATAAATGCATAGCATATGTGATGATGAATGTTAAACCTTTGTAAGTCAGTTCTACAGCATTGTTTCTGTTGTTTAGACCTCTTTATACAATGGGGCAATTATGCATGTCAGTGGATTTCTGTTTGCCTCATAATAGGCTGAAGAATGGGAGCAAATAATCTTGTTCCTCAACATTCTTTAAAAACTTGTCGAACCAAATGCACAGGTAAACAAAGGTAAGATAAGAAGGCCATGGGTATTTTGTCACCGAAACAGTTTCCATGTTAACTACCCCTGATACCAAAGTTTCCTTTAAAGAAGTAAAGCCTAGGAACACATACACCTTGTTAACTGAGGTATACTTGTACATATTCTTTCTATTTATGAAGGATTCATGCCATATTATGACTGTGAATGCAGGCCTGTTCATATCCTTTGCCACACAGATATCTGTCAGTTTCTTTAAGGAACAGGAACCAGTAAGAGAGCCTAGCTCATTTCAGCCATCAAGTCTCAGTTGAAGGGGGATCTCTCACCCTATGAGTGCAATAGGAGCTTTTATAGTACAGAAATATACAACTTTTTATGGATCTTTGAGTAAGGAGGGATTTAGGAAGGCAGAGCCTGGCAGGGAGTTCAGTAAAGGAGAGTGGTACCAGCAAGCTCAGCCCTGCTCTTTTTCTGCCATGGTGGCAATTGTATAAGACAGTGGTTTCAAAACTTTGGTCTTCCAAATGTGTTGGACTTCAGTTCCCAGAATTCCTGATTGTTGCCTAAATTGGCTAGGTCTTATGAGAGTTGAAGTACAAAACACCTGCAGGACCAAAGTTTGGGAAACACTGGTGTAAGGAATGGGGATCCAGTCTGAGTGTCTCTCAGGGACCTACTGGAATTCTCAGTGCCCTTATTGTACTTAACTAAAGTGAGAAAAATCATTACAGGCATACTAGTATAAATCTGTTTAAAAATGGCAAAGCAAGGATGACCTTTGGTTTACAGAAATTCTTGGACCTTACTTTGGTTTATAGAACTTCTCTTTCCATTTGGTACCTCTTTGAGTTTGCAATTTGGCACATATAGATAAGTCCTGAGTTGCTTGGGGGGGGGCTGTTGTTATTTTTAAAGAGAGTGCAGGAATGTTTTCTTTAAGTTGATAGCCTTCTGCCATTCTTTAATCTTGGTTTCCTATGATAAAAATCAATGTTTTTTCATGTGTTGTTAAACAATGAGCCTTGCAGCATCTCACCAAGGTTGGTGGCTCTGCTTGTTTAAAGGTGGAAGCCTGCTTCAAAAAGAAAAGTTGAGTCAGTGGGTATAATCAAAATGTTTTTCTTTGACAGAGGGTATCTTTTGATGGTGACAGTTTTTGCTACCCCTTTCCCCTTAAGAAGGAAAAGTCTTGTAATGAGAGTCCACAACACACACACACACACACACACACACAAAAGAGAGAAGGGGAAAGATAATTTTATTTAGGATTTTGTTGTTAAAGTTATTTCCCCCCACAGGCAGCATTCATTAAAATGAATTATTTTTCCACTAGAATACATTTTAATCAGTGCTGATATTAAATGTGATCTTAAAGATGTTTATTATTACCACCAGTTTAGTTTAAATTTAAATGGTATTTTTTAAAAAATAAGAGAGAATAGTAAAATAAATAAACAAATCCCTTAGCTAGAGTGTATCTGTACTGCACAGTTAATAGCAGTTTGATACCACTTCATCAGTTCTGGTTCCATCCTAGAATTAGGAATTTGTCGTTTGGTGAGGTATTTAAAAATACTCTAGTAGAGAGCCCTGATGCATTCTGCTGCAGTAAAGCACTATAACTCTTGTGCAAAGAAGTCAGAGACTGCGTCTACACTACAGACGCTACGGCCTCAGGAATCCCCTTATCCCACCCTCTCACAATTTAAATGTTCCCACTGCTCCGTATGTTTTATTATATTGTTATTTGTAATCAGTTTTTATTCTATGTCTTTTTAACTAGATGTTTTAATAGTTCCTTGGTTTAATACTTTTTAAAGGGGTGGGTGGGTTGTGGGGTCTTTGTGGAGTTATATTGTTTGTAATTTTAAATTGCTGTTAGCCACCCCGATTGTTTTCAGAGGGGCGGGATACAAATAATTATTTATCATCATCATCATCATCATCATAGAATTACTGCAGTTTTATACTGCTTTAACTACCATGTCTCAATGCTGTGGAATTTTGAGATTCTTAGTTTTGTGAGATATTTAGTCTTCTCTGTCAGAATGTTCTGATACCATAATAAACTACAAATCCCAGGATTCTATAGGATGGAGTCATGACATTTAAAGCAATGTCAAACTGCATTAATTCTGCAGTGTGGCAGGAACCCAAAGACGTTATCACACGTGGGCCAGAAAGCAAAAATAAAGTGGAAATGAGGCATTCTGAAAATAAACGGAAAATAAACCTTAATTCCGCAAATGTCATTACCTTAATTGCGAATTTACAGTAAGCGCATTGAACGTCCACACACAAGTGAAAAAAGCCCGTAAATGTACTAGAAATGAGCTTCTTGCATATGCACAGATAGAGGAATGCTCGCTGGAACCATGGCAACAGCAGGGAAATACTCCCAAATGCGCATTCGGTTATCACATTATGGTAAATGCGAAATTACCTTAATTGCGCATTTGCATTTCCTCCAAACAAACAAATTTCAAAAGATCGCGGTTAACACCAGTTTCTGTGCGACGTCATGTGAAAACATGGGGCACTAATCCAGTTTCTGTTTGGGTTTTGTGTGGATTAACCAGCAAATTTGCCCCCGTGTGATAACGTCCTATGTATCTCACCAGATTACAAATCTGAGGATGGAGCCATGGTAGTTTAAGTGACATACAGCTATAATGATGAAGTGTAGATATATATTTTAGTGGAACCTCCAGGTTTAATTGGGCTCTTATCTGTGTTTTTTATTAGCAGA